TCAACCAAAGAACTTGTATGCATAACCCATGGACACAGACAATGGAGGGGTAAAGGCCTAGGTGGGGGGTGGGGCGGGCTAGAAGGAAAATGGTAGAGGACACCGGGGTTTCAAGACCTAGTAAGTCTAAGGAGGAAGCAAGATTGGCAATGCATACAGATGTCCAAAGGCAAACTTTCAAAATACTGCAAACAGCACCCTACGCAGATGTGAGCAGACACCACGCCCCCTCCCAGCTCCAGAATGTCCTGGACTCCACGCAGCAAAGCAGGTGAAAACGAACTCACCCTGGGGCTCCTTCGAGGCGAGTGGACAGACGGGATCTGTGGAGACAACGCTAACTGATCACACAGCCGGCCCCCAATGCTGCTCCCCACCCACAACCCCTCTCTCAGCCCTACCTTTACAGTATGAGCCACAATCTTCTTCAAGACGATGGGCTTTCTGACGGGAGTCGCATGAGGTGCCTGGAGAGGAGGGGTGACCGTGAGCTCTACACTAGCCCAGGGGCCTCTGGGGAGGGAGGCGCCTGGGGAAGGGCCTGAGGAATCCCGGGCTCACCTTCGGCCAGATTTCAGGGAGGATGTTGGGAAGATCAGAGCCTGATTTCCGCTGGGACCTCCGCAGAGACTGAGTAGGAGGTGAGGCCCTTCGCCCTGGAAAAAAGAGACCGAGGTTCCCAAACAGGCCCGTCGGGGGCGCCTTCCCGGTCCGAGCCTCTTCAGGCGGTAGGGGGAGGGCCTCCCTCACGGAACTGCGTCCCTCAAGCACCTGGGCCCCGCCACCGAGGGTGGTGGGGCGCGCGCCAACCGCCAGGCTCCTTCGAAGCAGAAACGTTCGAACTACCCGCCTCGCCCGTGAGGAAGCGGAAGTGACGCAAGGCGGGAGGGGGAAAGACGGTCCGCTCTTCGCGTCTCTTCCCGTCACCACGTACAGCGTCTCAGAGGCGGGGCCAGTGGCGTGCTGGCGTCATCAGCACGCGCCGCACCCGGAAGAGACGTGGCAGCGGAGGGATAGTCGGGGCGGCCGGCGCTG